AATGTCTGGCCCTACAGACCTGACAGTGTCTGAGTGGATCAAAGACTTCTGCTATCCCTCCTTGCAGTGCTGTTTGGGCTCCTTCTTCTCTGGCTCTCTTTGATGATCTTGGGTTGTTGTTCTTGGCGAGTTGGAATGCTCTCTTCTGCTGTGGATTCCTATTCTGACTCTGGCAGCCCATCTCTCCATTTTGTGTTGTTGTTGCTGCTGCTGCAGCCTCTGCTGCTGCTGTTGGTGTGGGTGTCGGTGTCTCCATGGTGAGATAATGACTGTCGAGTTGACCGGAAGAGTGTCATCGTCGATCCGATCGATCTTCAACGGAATCCTCTTCTTCTCGGAAACCGAAACTCGAAAATGGTGACTAGGTAGCACACTAACTCCTTAGGTATGTGTCATGATTACGCCATTATCCCCTTAATTGATGCTGACATATACAGTGTTCTCCGGTACTCGTTAGCCAATCAGATTTCTGCCGTTCGCCCCTTTTCCGCCTTGATGCGGCTTTCTGGTCTCCTCACAGAATTCTCTCATCAAGTCAGTGTGCAACAAAGAAGAATGGAAAGTTGCTACCTCCTAGCCGACCCTCCACCTACGCACTGGTCGCGCAAGAATTTCCCAATCCTTGTCTGTAGCCCTCGACTGGAACAAGTCCAACGATGCATCCAGGACAACAACTCGAGTAGTAATCTGTCAGCCCTCAAGGGAGTGGAAGTGTTGCTACTGATTGCCAGCTTTAGTGGGTTGGCAGTGCTGGAACCCTGTTCGTGTTGTCGGGGAGAACCATTCCGATACTGTGGGATGCAGTGCCGACACTTCCTTGTGGGTGATTTTCCCCAACCACAACAACAAAACCCAAAGAAGAAAGATTATTCAACAACATTGGACATGAGCTTGTGCGCACTGGATACAGATGACTACATCTATTATTCCGAGCATGTCCCATTGCACCGAGATTGGCATTCCGGTTGGAAGTGGGAAGAAACGAGCCAGAAAACAATAATTGAAAAAAGTTTGACTGAAATTGGACGTTTACATCATAGTCGTGGAAGTAGTGATGGTATTGGATATCTCGCCTGTTCCTCCAAGGGATTCTATTCCTCTTGGTTAGACATGGAGTGGAACGACATGCAGAACAATAACTGGCAAATCACATGCCGAAGAAGCCCCAAGAAAAGTGGCATGGTTCATTACTACCTCTATTTTTCCAAGACTCTTTTGGGTTCTCCCAGCAAGATCACAGCTATGCATACATCCGGCTGGTCAGGCCCACATCCGCATGGCCGGAAAGTTCCGGATGCCGAAATACAAGCATTTCGGGATCTCGAATTGAAAACTGTGTCTGTCAAGAGAGACACGCACAGGTTCCGGTTATGCCCATCGGCGTGTCTGCCAGTGGTGAAAGCTGTTTTGGCCCAGGGATTAAAAATAGGTGTTCAAGACATTCCCTGATGGAGTGCTTTGCTTTGTATACCACTGGACAAAATGGCTTGTTGCCCGTCTGTTAGGATTGCCTAAAGTGAGACTGGGGCTCTTTCTGCACCCTTGGCTGGGGTTAGTTTTATTTGACTAAACAGGCACACATGGTGTATCCCCACCAGAACACATCTTACAACCAGAGCACCAGAGATCTTGGAATGAATAATATTTATGTTATGCATACCAGTACGCACATGCACATG